GAACATAGCCCCCATACCTTAAGGTAAGACGTATTCTACGTCAAAAATGTTGAGATTACACGCTCGCATATGCCGTCCTAGACACTATGCCACATAATCAGACATTGACTTGTTGATATGCAACAGTGGCGCCAAGAAAATTGTGCTTTTAAGTCTAACAAAGTTCTATGACAAACTATTACATACTTAGTTTCAAATTTATGTATTTGTGTTTTTGTATTGATTATCTGTTTATGTGAATGTGAACTTGCGGTGACATAATATATGTACATATGTATATATATATTTACATAAGTATTCAATGACAGTTAATGTGCCTTAATCCATACCAATATACATAAGAATGTTAATATGTATGTATATATGTAGGTTAGGGTGAACCTTAAAATGTGAAGCTAAATTTTGCATGGAGCACACTCAAGATAGGGACTTTTACGATAATTTCAATATTTGAAAACAACTTTTGTGGGTTTGACAAATTGAAAACTGATAAATTTGATATATTATTAAAATTATTCGTATACATTTATAGTCATCGGCTAATGGTTGCACCAGACAATACAAAGTTCCAAAGACTGCCATCGGAATAAGTGGAACATTTTAAACAATTTTCCCAAAAACGAAAAAGACTGGTGTACAAATAATTATCTGGTATGGTCTGCCTGAGCTCAAAATGCATCTTTTAATTTTTTTTTATAATTATGCAATTTTGATATTTTCAAACCCAAAATTATTTAAAAATATTGAAATTTTCGTGCATGTCTTTCTATTGTGCGTAGAAAAAAATAAAGGGTTATCCCATACAAAACTTAGATACGGACATTTTTAAGAACCACCCTAATGTGGGTATAATAAATTGCATGTAAAAACATATTTTGTTGCAGTCATGCAAGGGTTAGAATGAAAACTCACAAGTGCAGGTGTAGACTTCTTCGCGTCAGTGCTTTAAACGGTGACAAGTTGCATGATATTGTAAATAAGTTGGCAGAATATGTATGTATATGTACATATTTTGGAAGGGCTATTTGTAACGCGAACAAACGTGCGAATGGCAAACATGAAAGCAGCTAAATTTTTGTTGTAATGTCTAATTCTAAATAATGGCTATTATTTGAGCAATGCAGCATAAAAGAGTGTCGCCTAATGGCACCCAAGTAATGAATAATAGTTACACACACGTTTATGTACATATGTATGTATGTATTTATGTTAATGTGTTTATGTATTAGGGAATATTAGCCTGTTGTAGCGTTTTATTTTTTAATACTTGTTTACCATTCTGGATATTTTCTCATGAGCATGCCGTGATTATCATCAGATCGAGGAATAAGAACTCATACAAACCTAATGAATTCTCATAAATACATATATACATGTGTATTTACATAAATATATTTGTAATTTCAAAAAATGTTTGCCGACCATGTTCATGTACATAGGGCGTGAAACTATACGCGCATAGTCGCGTTCAAATTTAACGGGTTATTTATTTAGTAAATATCCGCCAAATGCTTTGATCGGTGAAGATCATTTGCTTCGCATAATTTATTTGTTGCATACTTTTCGGCAGACAGCAAAAATGTACTTGCTCAGCCGTGTAGATAAATTAACTACATACATACATACATCCTTAATCTTATTGAAAATTTTACCATCTTTCTACGAAAGTTTTTGAATATTTCATTAATAATTAAGTACTGAAATATATGTATCTCTCCTTTGTTACAGATAAAACGAGTCTGAGGAATCCCAAGAAGTGCCATTTAGAATTGTGAACGGATATTTGATTTAAAACCAAAGAAGACAACGTAAAAGCTGCAGAAAATTCTTTTTTACATTAAAGAGGAAGAAGGAGGCAAAAAAGCAAAGCTCCAAGCAACCTGAGAAAAAATCGAATAATATATATTTATTGAGGAATTAATTATACATACCTAACTCAATTAAAAAATAATTACAGAGTTAGAAGCACTCGCACTCGTACATACATATACACAAATAGGAGGTGACATTTATATATAGGTATTCACATACACGCACGCACTGCACCGGAAATTAATTTGTTACAAAAAATTGATCGCTAAAGCCGAGCAGCAGTATTTGCAGCCGCTAATTTAAAATAAAATAAAACTAAATTAAGAGCAACTTTCGAACGGGTCGGACTTACCATAATTTTAGAAAGTAGTATTGAATGCTAAAAACACACATATTTTTTAACGAAATTCATACAAAACACGAATTTAACTGTATAAAATTTGTATGAATTGATTAAATTAGAGAGTAAAAATGGCAGATAGATATACAAAAACGACCTCTAGCAGCGTGTTAGAAGGAAAGAATGACAAAAAGGGTGCTACACACACACCAGCGTCGTCCCAGTTGCCCAATGACGCCGCTGGTAGTAGCGCCAACCACAAAAATGTGCAAATCCTTACAAAGCTTGCCAACAGTTTGAGCGAAAGCTACCAACTGGTCAAGCAACGCCAACAAAAATACAACGAATTGAGCTCCAAAATGGGCGGCGTAGACGCGCCACAGCTCGTGAGCTATACCCAAGACTGTGATGATGCCGGCGCTGGCGAGTGGCAGGAAGTAAAGAATAAGCTAAAGCGCAAGAAGAAGCTTTCGGCTTCACTCACCTCCGTCAACGACTCGGTGAATCAGGAGAAGCGCACCCGCATCGAGGGCATACAGCTGAACTGCCGCGGCAAGTTGCACATCACCGAGCTGCCGGCACTAGTGCCGCAGTCAGCGACGCGCAGCTATGTCAATGTGGGCGTGGCACAACGCGCCGAACGCTGGGGTGGCGCAAAATCGAATGCGGCGGCCTCGAATGTTGCTGCCGCACCGACAACCAAACAGACAAACGCGTGCAATACAGCGCCGGCACCAGCGCCAGTGACGGCAGCGACTGGTTTAGTCACTGCTGCCGGCGTGAGCACAGCAGCGCCACCACCGCGCCTCAAGCGCAAACTGCAGGAAAATGTGCAGACAATACAAAAGCTTAATGCGCTCACAGAGCAGCTAAGGCTGGAAATCAACGAGCTGAAGTCCAGCTTGACGACCGAACGAGGCGCAGTGCGCGTGTTGCGGTAAGTACCTCCGGTTAAACTTGGCGGTGAATTTTGCGTTAAAATTTTTTAATTATCTTTAATAGCGCACAAAATGAGTCGGAGACTCGCAAATGGAAGAATGAGGTGAAGAGACTGCAAAATGCTGTAGAGCTTTTGAAGAAGAACAACACATTGCCGCTGGTCGGTGCGAAGAAGGCGACAGATGCCGGCAGCGAGAACTTGCCAAATGCTTCCACGACTGGCAATGTAACCAACTACGAAGTACAAAGACTGACAAATGAAGTTATTGCGCTGAAGGAAGCGAACAGAGCTTTAGAAGAGAAGAAAATGGTGAGTGCGATTTGTGTTAGTGCATGATTTCCTGGGTTTACTGCATGAATGTGAATTCTGAATGTTTTGTTCAATGCAATTTTTTAATGCTAAAATGGAGTTAAAAATAACTGTATTGTTATAATATATAAATGATTATAAGTAAAAGAGTAAGGAATAAACTCATGAGCGCAAAAAACGGAGATTCTTTTATCGAAAATTTGCCTAAAGTTTCGAACATGAAATTTTATATCGCATAATGTATTTGGTAAAAATGTAAATTATTAACCTCCCGGCTTGAGAGCTAAATACTGTAAAGAACTCTCAAGTAAAAGTTTATCTAACGAATCAGGTGATCAGGTGATTCACAATACGCCAAATCTTGGAAAAGACCCGCGAGAATAGGATCGACACACACCATCTATTTGTCGATTTTAAAGCCGCTTTCGAAAGCACAAAAAGAAAATCCCATTATGCCGCGTTGTCTGAATTTGGCTAGCACCATCAGCTCTGTCGGAATTGGGAAGGACCTCTCCGAGCTGTTTAGTACCAAACGAGGTTTCAGACAAGGTGGATCCTTTCGTGTGATTTCTTTAATCTGATGTTGGAGAAGATAATAAGAGCCGCAGAACTGCACCACTCAGGTAAATACCTTACAAGAGTGTACAATTGCTGGCGTATGCCGACGACATCGACATTATCGGTAAAACCAAGGGCTGCTCTTCCTTCTCGAGATTAGATAGAAACGCAAAGCGAATAGGTCTGGTGGTGAACGAGGACAAAACGAAGTATCCTCTGTCATCACATAAATAGTCAGAGCATAAGCGTCTTGGCACCCACCACGTCACTACTGAGAGTTAGAAGTTTGAAAGAGTAGACTACTTCGTTTATTTGGGAACCAGCATTAACACCAATAATAATGGCAGCCTTGAAATCCACGATATGGACATAGAGTAGCGATTTAAAATTCAGCATCTCCAATGGTTTGGCAATATCGTTCGAATGGGCAGAAACGCTTCAGCTGTGATAGTGTTCAACGCGGGTCGCGAGACCAGGCGGAGACGGACGTTGGCATTTACAACTGACGTCAGTTGGTACAGAAGAGAAACGACTGGCGTGCCATTTTGGACTCGACCAAAATCGCGCAGGCTATTACAGCGGAAATAAAGAAGAGGAAGAATATATTTCAATTCCCCCACAGTCGAATGCCTGAGACTAATAAATATTTTAATATGGGCCTTCAAGATTAGGGACTTATCGTCGGGATGAAAAAGAACTTTGTGGTCGTGGCGTTCATTTTGCCTCCAACTAAGAACTGATAGTTTTAGATTTAACTCAATTCAAATTATTTTATTTTAATACATATTTATGGCTTTGAAAATTTATTTGTATAAACGCAAAGTTTTTTTGTTTTTTTAATAAAAAAATAAATTATGCGATAAAACTGACCCATTGTTTGAAATTTCAATCCTGGGTACAAAATGAGCTGAAAAGATACTAATGTACCTACGTGGTATGTAGTCTATATAAAACCAACATCGTTGCAATTTCTTAGTTGTGTGCGCTCTTTGCTGGAGAATGTATAACACGCACTCTTGCTTTCTTCAAATCATATCCTGGGGAGCGGTGCTTAAAAATCTCCCACAGAAATGTCAGGAACGCCAGCTTTAGCCCCAAGAACAAGAGAAAGAAGGCTGCTTGAAAATGGAACAACTTTAGAACCACTGGATCATCATCGTTCATCGGATTGCGGATGTTCTTCTTTCCCGACTCTATGAATGCCGCATTCATGATACTCTCCCAATGAACTGCGTAGCCGAATTCGATCGAGCTGCGGATCAATCGGTTGATGAAGCCCAAATAGGGCGATCCATAGGGTACAATGTAGACGGCGTGAAAAGGCACCAGGCAAGTGGACATCACGTGGTAGAGCGGCCTGCCCCGATGTGAGTGCATGCGTGCGTTCGCATGGAACGTTGCAAAGTGAAATTTCTGCAGATAAGCGTACGATAGATTATTTTCTCGGACTTTCGCTACAATTTGCTCGTCGGGCGCAACGATTGATTTTCGCTTTATTGTGGCTTCATAAGGGTCACTTATATTGAGAAAACGCTCTAAATGCTTAGAGTGTCTGGAATATGTCAACATATCATACGGTGACTCAGCCAAATCCTTAATTGTATTAAGATCCGGCTGATATGTGCGAAAGACGAGACTGCTTGTGAGATTTCCCTTGAAAGCGTTGCAAATCAACATGCCATAGAAGAGCCAACAGAAGAGGAAGATACGCAGAGGGGTGCGTGCCGGAATACGTGTCAAGGGCATTGACAATGTGGTGGCGTACAGTTGAAGTAGATCGAAGTCACACTTGTGCAGACGCAGGTGCACCAAGTTGCAAAAGATATAGGCAAGCGGTATCGAGAGCAGTATCGTCAGCCACACCGGTATGGTGAATGAACGAAATAGGTTCCAGAATATAGTTGCAATCCTAGCTTTCGGCACCAACACACACAGGTCGTCACGGCTGTGCACGATCGTATATTCGACTTGTCGCGCAAATGTCGGCGCCGCTAGGAAACGTGTATTGAAGGCTACATCATCTAGCTCATGTGTGATCTCCTTGAAGCAAATATCGGCTCTTAGCATGAAGTTGCCAAATCTGCTGACGCGATGTATTACACGCGTGGCATTCAAGCGTTCGGCGATGAAAGCCGACATGAAACCATCGCTGCCGATAACCTTCTGGTCGTCGTCGTCGTCCTCGAAAATGGCTCGCACCTCATCCTGGTACAGACATACGCTCAACGGCTTGCCGCCCATATCCGGTAATTTTGGTGGGAAGAGGTCGTCTTTGCGCGGAAGCATGCCACTGCTTAGTTCCAATTTTATAAGAAATTCATCGGTAAATGGGTTGTATCTGTAAACATGCAGCTCATTGTTGCGTTGAAACATTATCACGACATTCAGAAACCAAATGTGCCAAAAAATCGCGAAGGTATGACGCAACCAAGCTTCGGTGACGGTCTCCGAATTGACGATTAGCATCATAACGTGCGAGAGGTGTTTCGCCGCAGAATATTTTTGTATAATTGATGGATCGATGCGCTGTGAAGCGTCGTGAAAGATCATTACCAGATATAACAGTATACCGTCGTTGTTGATGAGTTCCAATGGCTTAGTCTTTACGCGATTCCTATGCAGAAGAAACCACAACCATTATCAATGGATTAAATTGACTTAGACTGGATCGAATATGTTATCTTAAGGGATTTGTAATTTGTCTACCTACCTCAATGTTATGTACGAAGTACCACAATCACTTAAATCCCGCAGTATGTCACCCGAATAACCGGAAGAGGTCTTATTCTCGAAATACACATAGACGACTTTCGTATGGAAACTGCACAAAATGTCGCTGGCATTCTCAATTAGTGGCAAATCTATTGCAGAATTAACCGCAAGTAGACCTTCGGCCATCGACGGAGTTTTGGAAATCCAAACCGCGAAAATGCCGATGAGAGAATGCAGCAACGATAGTGGCATTGCGCCCAGACGAGTAGAAATATGCGGAGCAAATGTGGACGCTTAGTTGGTGGTCGATTGTTTTTATATGTAGATATAGACATATCCCAGCTGGTGACCAAAATGAAAATGCATTAATGGAATATTTTTCACAAATACACTTACACAAGAGC